TAAGTACTTCATGCTTAAATCGTTTGCTCTGTACAGGTAGTAAGGAGTCACATTGTTGCTACCTGAAAATATGTAAAACTGATTTCAGCTGTATGTTGGTAAAAAATGTCTGCTAAATAAGGATATTTTAGAGGGAACAGAGACCCATTTCTTTCCAATGGCTTATGAAAGTATGTTAGTAGCTTCTTTAGATCTTTTTGTTTTTTTCTCTTTCCAGAATCTGTAGCACATGCAGATGCTGAATATAGTTGGATAATTTTTATTAGCACATGACAGGAGTACATGATTATTTTTGTTGTTATATAAAGCCAGATCTTTTAAAGTATTTCTGTAATATGTAGATATTTTGACCTTTTGGGCCTACAATCAATGAAAATTCTCCTTGACCTAGTTTAAAATTTCATTTGAAGCTGTAACAGTATTCAAAATGGCTTCAGTGTGATGGATAATCAGGATGTTTATTATAAATATTTTAAGGCCTGCTGTTAATGCAGTCTTATCAGCTGTTAGTATGAAACAGGTGACATACAGAGATCACTCATTAGATGCAAAATTATGATCTGATTACCTTATCTTTTGAGCTAAAAAGGGGAAAACTTATACTGAAATCCTTTTATCAAACAGTTTCGTCTATGGACATATTTTTGATGTTGCATCACTCTTTCTGAAAACGCTGGTTTGACTTCCTTTTTCAGTGATAAGGCATATGCCACTGGTAAACTCCTGTGTGAACGTTTAAAAGAGGCTATACCTAGTAAAAATTGCATCTATCTATATATAAAGCATTATGCTGAATTACATTTACAGAGATTACTATAAGCTAGTATTAAGCTAGCAATTATTTGTTCTAATTATAAAAATAAATATCTGTATCTCCTAAAAGTGTAATGGTTAATGAACATTCTTAAGTACTTCATGCTTAAATCGTTTGCTCTGTACAGGTAGTAAGGAGTCACATTGTTGCTACCTGAAAATATGTAAAACTGATTTCAGCTGTATGTTGGTAAAAAATGTCTGCTAAATAAGGATATTTTAGAGGGAACAGAGACCCATTTCTTTCCAATGGCTTATGAAAGTATGTTAGTAGCTTCTTTAGATCTTTTTGTTTTTTTCTCTTTCCAGAATCTGTAGCACATGCAGATGCTGAATATAGTTGGATAATTTTTATTAGCACATGACAGGAGTACATGATTATTTTTGTTGTTATATAAAGCCAGATCTTTTAAAGTATTTCTGTAATATGTAGATATTTTGACCTTTTGGGCCTACAATCAATGAAAATTCTCCTTGACCTAGTTTAAAATTTCATTTGAAGCTGTAACAGTATTCAAAATGGCTTCAGTGTGATGGATAATCAGGATGTTTATTATAAATATTTTAAGGCCTGCTGTTAATGCAGTCTTATCAGCTGTTAGTATGAAACAGGTGACATACAGAGATCACTCATTAGATGCAAAATTATGATCTGATTACCTTATCTTTTGAGCTAAAAAGGGGAAAACTTATACTGAAATCCTTTTATCAAACAGTTTCGTCTATGGACATATTTTTGATGTTGCATCACTCTTTCTGAAAACGCTGGTTTGACTTCCTTTTTCAGTGATAAGGCATATGCCACTGGTAAACTCCTGTGTGAACGTTTAAAAGAGGCTATACCTAGACAGTTGTTTGAAATAGCCATCCAGGCTGCTATTGGCAAGAAAATCATTGCAAGAGAAACGTAAGTGAAGACCATCTGTTCCCTTTTTTCCCCTCCATAATTTAAGCTATGTAAAGTACAGATTTTTAATGTCTCACCAAGTTTTATACATTACAGTACTTTGATTTTAGTTCAAAGTTGTATTTTTCTTGTCTATGCTACCAGACATCTTGAAAAAAAGAAAAAGAAAACTAAACCAAATTTGGGCTGTGACTGTGATTAAAGACTTTGAATTACAATTATACAAAGAAAATGTATTTTTTATTTTCAATTGCTTGTGGTCAGCATTGCACTTAGTGGATAAAGCATAATGTCCAACACCTGTGTGCATTTCCTCTTTGGCAGTGGAAAAAGTTTCTTCCTACTGAAAAAAATTAGCTAGTTTTGGAATAGTTAAATCTCTGGGAGAGTCAGCAAAAAAAGAAGTGATTTGTGCTGTTCCAAAGGAAATATGTTGCAAGCTGAACAACAACTTTTTCTTAAACAGCATGCACTTTAGAACAAACAGTTTCCTTGATGCTGTGTTTCTCGTCACATTTTTCTGTTGCTGTTTAAATAGGATTTAAATTGTGGTAAAATGATTATAGGTAGGAATTTAAGCCAAGGCGCTGTAAGAATTTGTGTTTATATCTATACACACATGGATGTAACACTTCCTATGAGCTATAGCAGAAGTCCTAGATAAAAAGGCAAGATTGTAATTTTTTATGTACACATTATACACCCTATGGGGTATTTCTAGAATTAAGAACTGTGAATTGCATCTTCTGCTTAAAACTTCATCTCTTGTATACAAAATATGACAGTGTTATGATGCCGATGCATCTTACAAAACTAGCAGAAAAACAATTAGCATTTTGACAACTCAGTATTTAGCTTCATATATAGATGTTCTAATGCGCTAAAGGTATATATGTTATTTTATTTTACAGGCTGAAAGCTTACAGGAAAAACGTTGTGGCAAAATGTGTAGGTATTTTTTTTCTTCCTTTTTTTTTTTTAAATGTTTCTGACATTTGTAAACCTGCTAAGATGATAGGCCCATATTTTCGTAGAAACCCAGCAAAGACATGTTCTGCTTGCACTCCTAAGTATCAGTGGAATTCTAACAGATACTTTTAAGCTTTTATTTTAAAATTCAACACTTACAACGTCTAGCTGCAACTTGCAGTAAGAAGGGATCAGAAAAAGTAATGGCTTTTTCAAAGTTACATGCTTGAGTGAACATGTTCTAATAGTTGAAGACAGAGTAAATGTATGTGTGTACACAAGCATTGTATAACTTCACATTTCCTAAATTGTTTTTCAGATGATAAAGTATAAATGTGCTTTGTAATAAAGCTATTGAATAGTTGGCTATTGACAAGACTCAACAAAGCTATAGGAAAAATGTGATACCTCTTAGCTTATATTTAGTTCTCTGAAGCAAATGTTGGAAATTATTGACCAAGTGTCCCTTTCTCACAACTGTAACAGAAATCTTCTGCTATGTACATGTGTGGTGGGATGGTGTTTGTTCAGTGTTGTACAAGGGTTTAGTTTATTTTTCTAGATAAAAGCACCTAGTGCTAATCAAGATGCCTCAGTGTGCCTGAGCTGGCATTCTGATGCTGTTCCAAGGGGATATGGATCTGATGTATTGTCTAGTGTCAACCAGGCTTATGTGAACGTGTATATTTAGGTAACAGAATTCAACCTTCAGGTGAAGGTTCCAAATGAACATGCTTACCTTGCTCCCTTGTTTTTAATGAGTGTTCTTTAGGCATAACTATTTGGAGTATAAAATAATCTTTTGTCTTAATATAACCAACCTTCCTGGCTTTTTTTAAGTCCTTGAATTTAGTGTTGCTGAAATGTACTGTAGCTGCATTTGACCTTTAAGCTTACTAAAATATTTTTCCTTTTCACAGTATGGTGGAGACATTACAAGAAGAATGAAGCTTTTAAAGAGGCAGGCAGAAGGCAAGAGGTTGATGAGAAAAATTGGCAATGTGGAAGTACCAAGAGATGCCTTTATACGTGTTCTAAAGAGAGAAACCGACAAGTAGAGATCAGTGACATGATCATTCTCTCAACTTTTTGCAGACAGGAACATAGTGAGCTAATACATGATTTATCACTGTGAGAGGGAATGTACTTGACTTTTAATGGTGTAAATTAAGTATATCTGAGAAGATGAACTGAAAGGACTGTGTACTTAAAATGTACAGATACTTGTAGATTATTATGAAATTAAAGTTCACTTGACTGAATTTTCATTGTACAGTTTTCATTGTATTTCACTGTTTTCATATTTTTAATACTTAAAAAATGTTTTATTTTTGCATTGCAAGTCTACATATGAAAGAACAGGAACCACATGGTGAAAAGGTTATAAAAATAATTGAAAGGTGTGTATAGACAAACAATGCTGTGTTGGTTTGTTTTTTTTCTTGTAAAGTTTTAGCTGTTGCCATAACAATATCAAGCTGCTTCCTGTTTTACTACTTCTAAAGTTGCTGTTGTCAGGAAATCATCATGATGCTGGGAAATCATATTGGGGGAGAAAAAAAATCAAAACTTTTTTAATGTACCATCCTGTGTATTTTAAACTTGTTGAAGTGTATAAGTTTGCCATTAGTACAGCCTAGCTATACTCAGCTCCAGAGAAATCATAAGTTTTAGTATATTAAACCACAGGATATGTAACTGCTCCACCAAAAGACCAATTCAAGCCTTAAAGAATTCCCTTGGCATGAAGGTTTGGTTAGAACATGTCTTTGTGTAGTTGAAGTTTTATTTCTATTGTTAGTGAGTCCTCAGTTGAAAACTACAGTGCAGTGTGCTTAACATACAGTGTACACAAGGCAATCATAAATGCAAGTTAATGACCCTGCTATATACTGTGTTTACAACTGCTTGCCCACCTCCAAAAGCTTTTAAGACAGACTCTTCCATGCTTTTGTAATTTCACAGAACCACAGAACAGTCCAGGTTTGAAGGGATGTTAAAAGACCATCTGGTCTCACCCTTTATGCGAAAGGTGAGCCTAGATGAGACTCTACCACGTCCTAAGGAGAAAATGTGATTTGTAATTAAGGCTACCTGCCTGTCATCTAGGTGAAGAGTTAAATTCCTCAAGTTCTGCTTTGTTGCACTTTCTCTCAGTGAGTATTTTACACAAGGACATGATCCCACTGCTCCCCCCCAAAAAGTCTAAATCAGTGAACTCTCATCTTCCTCCTTTGGTGCCTGATCACTCCCTGAAGCCCTGAAGTATTTATGCATGACAGTTTATATTAGAAATGAAACAATTTTGAAATTAGAGATTTATATTTAAGTTTTACTTATATTCAAAGTAGGAAATAACATTCCTTGTAACAGCTCAATGTTTATAATGATACAATGAGAAAGTGATTAACAGTTGGCTTTAAATGACCATTAAATTTGCAGACATTATGTTCCTGTAACTTAACATCTTTTCAGGTATTTAATAGTAACATCAATTATATAATTGAACAGGTACCTCCAGAAAAGAACATTTAGATTTTTCCTTATGTATAAAGCTTGATTACCAAAAATATAAAAATCCTAAAGTAACTTGAAATACATGAGAGGAAAAAGTGCTATGGCAGAAGTTTAATATTTTTATCCGTGGAGTAAGTTATAACTTGCAAAAATTTGGTGCATTTTTAGGCACTGTTCTTGTATTTTCATTTGTCTGAACTATACAGCAGGTCTTGAGATGCCCAAAAACTGTTTAAGATAAATTTAAGGCAACCAAGTGCAAAAGCTCAGTGTATATTAGATACATGTAAACAGAACGTTTCATAGTAGAAATTGTACAACTATTACAAGTCCATAGTATTGACAAAGGCCAAAACCATTCTGCCTAGAGACACAAATGCAAAATGTAGTTACACTAATCAAGCCAAAAATTACAAATTCCAGGAAATAAAGTATCATCTTTAACACAAGGCAGATGCATTACACTGCTGTGCTAGAGTAAGTGCTCTGCTTTTCCCCTCTCTACATAACATGCAGTCTCTCACAGGTTTATTCTGTTCCATTTAGTGATGTACAACCCAACAGCAAAGCTCCAAATGTTAAAGCAAAATGCACAACACAGCAAACAGATGGAATGTGAATGTACAGATATTGGACCTTTTAAAAAATACAGTACGTAGGATTCCCCCTTTTAAACGGTTTTCAGCATATTGCATAGCAGTGAACTCATCTGCTACCTAAAACGGTTGCTGTTGACCCACATGGAGTTCCTCTTCAATTCTTCTTTCAGTTTTCTTTCATACTGTACAGTGGGTCCACAAGCTTATTGTGCACATGCATTAAACCTTGGGGGGAAAGCAACAATGCCAGCTTTACGTTACTTATAATTTTTCAACATGTCCTTCTATCCACATTTTTATTTGGAGTTTGCTTCAAAGTATACATTTTAAATAGTTCACTGAAGAGAACAATAATGTCTGTTTAAAGCAATTTAAAATGGGAGACAGCATATATATATATATATATTCCTGTATCACTTACGTACTAATGATATCTGCAGTATAAACTGAGCAGGGATCAGACATTTCTCTGTTAACAGACCCAAAAAGCAGATCTGGAATGCTTCCAAATTCATTGAATACATCTTTTGTTCTGTATTAAAAACTGCATAACAGCAACATAATTCCCTCACACCATAATTTGTCATAAAAAATCAGATATATACATAGTGATACTTTTGCAGCTTGAATTCTTCAATTGCAATGTTCTAGCATTGTGGTATCACTGTCTGGTCCTAGACAGGCAAAAGCAAACTAAAACTATCCAGACTGTTAATGCAGATTCAGAATTTCAGTAGTTCAACTGAAATTCAAACTGTTCTAACTGGGCTTTTTTTTTTTTCCTCATACAAGTCATCCATAGCTATGACTGGGGGTGTTATTTTTTTTCCTACTCAACTACTTCAATTCTGGAAAAACCTGAAGAGCATTTAACAAAAAAAGATGCTTCCCTCTTTACTTTGTTATTACTTAGTAAAAATGTTACCTATATCTACCTATGTATGACACTGGGTCACTGGCAGGTTTTTAAACTTCATTTCACCTTAAGGACTAATAGCAGTAACTGATCAACATTCACAATCTGCAAAGTAAAAGTCCATTTTAGCATCAAACTAAAGACTAACTTCTAAAATTAAAATACGCAACATTACGAGTCATTTTCTTAAATACCATGAAATAAATATGCAAGTAGTACATAAATACCTTTGCTAGATGATGCACCTGGTGGCAACCTTAGTGTCACTGCAGCAACATGCAATAACTATACAATTTTAAGGTCATTACTGTAGTGACCACAACAGAAGGCATTTTATGCAGCATCTATTACTAATCATTGTGTCATCATTTAATATAAAATGAAGATATTAGATCAAGTATAATATTTTTCAGTTTAACAGTGAGAAAAATTAAGTATACATTTGATATAAAGTCATTTGTACTGAAAGAGTAACAGCTGCACACACTGCTCAAACTAGAAACATGTTTTGAGCTTCCTACCAGTGTTTTCCTCTTCTAAAAAGAGGAAATGAAAAGGAGATAATTACTCACTTCCTAGATGCATGAAAAATGCTTACTAAGTATTGCCTCTGCCATACTTAATGAAGAATATTTAAATCCTATTAGCAAAATTGTTACAGGAAAATCAGTAAGAAACAAAAGGGTTTTTTTAAGGTATGCGTCCCACTGTATATTCAAGTATGTTTTGGATAAACAGATTTCTGCATACAGTTTTAAAAGGAGCATGCACAAGTATGCAAAAAACTATCCTAAACTAACTTATCTGCAGAAAAATTAGTAAATTCAAAATTCATTTTGTTTCATTCTTCAAGAAAGTTATTTTCCCTTTTACCATAAGAACATTTAAGTACACTTCATACTTTTAGCCTATAATAGGTTTTCAGAAAGTTAGAAAAAAATGGAGTAAGTTATTCTATTTACCAGCCAGCATGGTACTTGATTATAAAAAAAAATAAAATTGCAGTTTCATATATTACCTTGAGAATTTTTAAGTAGTGAAAAATCCCAGTAAATCACTACCGTAAATAGCAGTATTAAGAACTATCTAGCTTCCTTAAGAAAACTAACCTAAAGATCAAGATTCAGAAATAATTCCAAATTTGACCCACATTGATCTTTCCTTCATCTTTAAAAGGGAAAGTCTCACTGATTTGAGAGTAGGTAAAATTAAGCAAGTTTACACTAAACAGTCTTTTTAAGCATTCTATTGCTGTATATTGCGGGGTTATTCAATACAGTGTGACACAACAGCACACATTCATAAATTGTAGCCCTTGATGTTTTTAAAGCAATGTTCAGTGTCATTCATACCTAGTAATTCTACATTATGTTTATCTTTCCCAAGTATAGCCTCTGTTTATATGAAATACAGGATAATGTTTAAAATTTATCCAAGCAGTTAAAGAAGCTTATCTTTGAAAACAACAATATCTAGCAGTGTGATACAGCTAAAGACTAACCCTCCCCCCTACCCTGCAAACACACAGCAGAGGACAGCATACTGAAAAAATCCAAAATTAACAAATTGGCCACAAGTGTTATCAGAATAAAAATCACAGTAATGTCCGAATTGCAGTCTAATACATATATGAGCACTGCTGATACAATGCTTTAAAAAAGAATTTAATAAATTACAATCTTGATCTCTGATACCTCAATTACTACAGGTACCCATGCTAGTGAGAAAGACAATCATTTCACACAATTCCATGTGCTGTGCTAATACAGTCAGGAGAAAACTACTTTTCTTAGCTTCTACAGTCTCAATGAAACAATTCAAATTAGGAAGTCTCAATGACTATCAAATATCCTGACTTCAATTTTGCCCCAATATACCTACTACAAATATGAAAAGCACAGTACAAGTGTGCAATGTGTTCAAAGTCAGTATAGATTGTTATGCTAATTGCATTGAATGAAAAATGTCCTCGTGTGGCTTCAAAGTCTGTATCATACATTTCCAGTTTACTAGACAGCATGTTACAGCACACAGCAAAGGCAGTATGAAAATATATCAGGATTAATAAATGTGGTTTTTTTAAGTGAAACTTTCCATTATAGTTATGAGCTGTATTCTGGAACACTGCTGCTGTTTGACGTGGAAGATTACTAAATTATTGTTTCAAACTAGAAGCAAAGGAAATGTTTCTCCCAAGTAGATTTGTCAGGAATATAAGCAGCACAAGTTATGCCTCCTAGCAATTTTCCATACACGAGAAATAAGTTAACAGTTAGTATTTTGAACATATAACATTATACATTAGATACTGTAAAGTGTTGAAGGCTCAGACTTAAATCAATATAATTTTAAATCTGTTGAGTTTGCATTTTTTGAACACATGTAACCTCCGATTCAGTGCTCACCTTTAAAGTACTTCACAGTTTTGACTCTTAGTTCTAAAGTAGCATCTTCATCACACACAAAGATAGTGCGAGGGTGTTGCTGGAAAGCAGAAACTGTCCACATATGATTGACTCCTTCTTCAATTGCTTTGTACAATGCAAAAGCCTTATGTGCACCTGTTATAAGAATCATCACCTGCAAAACAAAGGTCTCTTTACTTTCAATCCCAGTATCAATACCAACTAGTCTTGAAAACACACATGCAACTAGAACTAAATGAGTTCTTACTTCTCTAGCATCCATCACTGTACCCACACCAACTGTTAGCGCCATAGTTGGTACTTTAGATAAGTCTCCATCAAAGTATTTAGCATTTGCCAAAATGGTGTCCATTGCTAAAGTCTTTAATCTTGTTCTTGAAGACAAACTTGATCCGGGTTCATTGAATGCAATGTGGCCATCTGGACCAATGCCTTTTCAAAGTTAAAAAAAGTAAATCATTCCAGACCTGAGTCAACAAATATCCTCAAACATCTTAAATGAATAAACAGTTTTTAGGACTCATTCTTTCTTTTCCCCATTTTCAATAAAAAAACATTCTAAACTTAATTTAATTAAGTCATTAGAAACTTGGACACCAACCATTCTGTTTTGGTATTCATACTGATTTTTTGTTAGTTACAGAACTTTCTTGCACCATAACTGAAAAGTCTAGGTTTAGCCAAGTCATGAAAATAATGATTAAAGAATCAGTGTACATGCTTGAATAGAAACTAACCATAAAGCATTTCCTCATACCTCCAACAAACAGATCAATCCCTCCCGCTTCTTCAATTTTCTTTTCAAATGCATCACATTCCGCCTGTAAGTCTGGAGCGTTCCCATCAAGGATATGAGCATTATTTGGATCTATGTCAATATGCTTAAAGAAGTTATTCCACATATAGGAATGATAACTCTCTGGATGATTTCTAGGGAGCCCTGAAATCATTTAGAGTGAAATTAACATAAGACAAGATTTAACCAAACAGCCTTAATTCTAGTTTATTTGTAACCGACGTAGGGCATGCAAGGCAAACCTAACTGAGTCAGATAAAGCAAGTTTGGAAATAACATTGAGAAGAAAGTTTTCTTGTGTTGGCATGCACAAGGTAATTGGTTTGCATTCACTTCACATATGTCTTATCACAAAGAGTATTAAGTCTTCAACAGACATGCAGTCACAATATTACATTACAATGTCCTTTCTGCACTGTTTATTTTTGCATTTTTGTAGATAAATAGAAAAAAATGCTTAAGATGACCCCATGGACAGAAATTTAACATAAGAGTACAAACATACTAGACTGATCTCATTCTTTGACGAAGTATTTAATAGTTTTTATAAGGAGGAAAAAAATAACAGTACAGTTTGTTCTGAAATAATAGCGCATCTTACCTACATACTCATCCATGTTGAAAGTCTTTACATATTTGAAAGAGAGATCTCCATTTTTGTGATATTCTATCAGCTTTTTGTAGCATCCCAAAGGCGTACTACCTGTTAAATAAAATTTTTCTACTATTCTATGTATCTGCACAACATTTTCAGTGTATTTAAATCTCTTCGTAGTCAAATTTTGCTACAATACTTTTAAACATAAAAGCAATCTGCTATTTCTCATTTAGTATTTCTAAGCTTCTCAAACATTAAAACTTTTCACACAAAGCAAATCCATATTTTAAAAAAATTATGTTGGACTATTACCAAAAATAATACTTATGTTCTTTTAAATACTGTATCTACTAGCAATGCTACAAACATTGTTCTAGGTTTACTTATTTACACAGACTTTGAATAAAACTTGCCTGTTGGTAGACCAAGCGTGAAATATCTTCCTTGACTTGGCTTGAACTGGATAATACGATTACAGATGTATTTTGCTGCCCATTCACTAGCCTGATCATAATCTTCAAGAATTACTAGCCTCATTGTGGCAGTGAGGAACGTGTATTATAAAACAAACTTAAACCTGGAGAAAATGTCAAAGTTTTAAAAATAAGCACCCTATGAATAGTTGCAAAACTCTTAGATAACAGTGGAGATAAAAAATAACCTTTCATGCCGATCACTTGCATAAGCATAACACATTCTTGCAGTCCTAGTTCAAGCTGGACAATCAAAAGCAAAGCTACAGAATCCAACTGAAAGATTCCAGTCAAAATATTTATTAAAATTCACACACTAATTTAAAGTAACTTATAGGAAAAAGTTAAACCAAAATATGAATAAGCCATTTTGAACTTCAACATTTTAGTCAAGTTAGAAAAGAGGAAATATTCAAACGCTGAGATTAACTCCTGTTTCTTATGACCAACTGAAGGCCTAAAATTTCAAAAACAAGGCCCAAAATAGCCCCATGTTTCTCTATTTAAAATACCTAATTGGAAGTAAATAATTAAAATTCCTTTCACTGCCATTCTAGCTCCATAAAATGCTTCAGTATGTTTATTAATCTGCAAAAAAAAGTTAAAGCATTAGATATTTGAAATGTGACCTCATATTATCTTTCCCTGTGAATTGTAAACCTTTTTTCTTTTCGACATAACTTTAAACAGAAGTTTAGAAAGCTTTATTTTGAGCGCAATGGTATCAACTTCTAAGATGAATATCCAGAAAAGAAGCTTGCTCGCTAGATGTATACAAGCATCTCTTGCATTTAAGTGAAACTCATTTTACCACGAGAGTTTAACAGAGTCAGGTAATCACCAGAAAGACTGGGGCTCTTAAGCCAGTCTGTGATGTATTATTCTTCTCTTCCCAGGTCTGAATGTGCTTGGCATTAGCCAGAAAACAACACAGCTGCCAGAAGCCCAAGGCCAACTAAGTGCCAAACCACCTGTAGTGCACACTACTCGTAGCTGACCCAAAACGAGAGTCTCGTTTTAAGCACAAATATGAATTAAAATACATTTGTGTTTCACATCTGTTTGTCCCACTAAAAGAAGAAAGAAACGCCGTGTGCTGCTTCCTCTCCACGGGCAGTTGAGCCGTGACAAGTCAAACTCACCTCTGCAGAGAAAACGCTACTACACAGACACAAAAGGATCTCACATACACCCCCGAGGAGCACAGAAAAGCAGGCCAGCAGGAAGAGACCCCGCGGCTTTAAGGGCGGCCTCATAAACCTCCAGCGATTTTTCC